AGTTTTACATAGTTATACCTACATAACAGATTTTTTATATTCTGATATAACTATTTATTATCATTTGTGTAAATATATATATATAAATATAAATAAATATAAAATAACATTCACTTCATTTTATAAAAAATGATAACATGCATGTTTATATGAAAATAAAAATAACTTTTTATATTTTTTTTAAATTATAATAAGTATTTATTTTTAATATAATACAAATATAAAAAATTTAATTATATTTAAGAAATTAAGAATTTTATAAAAAATAAAATAATATATATCACATATAAAATTTTTTTTTAACTATGAATTATATATTCTCAATAATATTCTAACTCATAAACAAGATTTTTTATTGGTTTATGATGATTTTACATTTAAGCAGTATTATCTATGTATAATAATAATGTAACATTAGCTGAAATTGGAGGCCACAGTTGGTTAATGTGGTCATGCGGTTTGGTGATTAGATATTACTACTTAACATTACACTATCATATTATAATTGCATACAAGTAAATTATTTTCTTTTTAAAATAAATCATATAATGATATTCAATGATATTTAATAATTTCTTACATAATTATTTTTTTAAAAACATTATACATATTTTTTCTAATATTTTTTTTCTCAATTCAAAATGAACATATTTATTTGCAAAATTATTTATTTAATTTTCATTTTTATTAAATGTAAAATTTAAAAAATGTGAAGTGTTTTTTAAAAAATGTTAAAATATTTACATTATTAACACTAATTATAACAGTAATTGGTAACAGAAGCTGAACAAATACAATGAGAATAATAAAAAATCAGGCTGTATTTTCGATGAAAAATTCCAGAAGATCTACGACAGTATAAAACTGTCTCGGTGCTGATGTGTAGGCGGCAAATACTAACAAAATTGCCGCCCCTCTCCTTTAACTATCGTTGTATTCATTAATTGGCACTGTGAAACTCCTCGTTCGTGATTAATTTTCACGGCAAATTAACATTAACTGATTCATAGAGTGGCGAAAATTAAGAAGAAATATAGTCTTACCTAATACGATTTTAAGATGTTTGAATCGGGTTGCACTATCCTTTTTAACATCCTGAATCTTCAATGTTGACTTTTTGACGTCTACATGAAGTTTTTTGCTGAACATGGTTCAATGCGAGCCGCCGGCGGCCGCGACGACAAAAATTATCATCGAGGGTGTACAAAGTAGTGCTCATGGATACAAACCGACTAATACCGCACTGTCACCATGTCAGGAACTCAAAAAAGACAGCCCCTTTTATCACAGTTTGGCGTCAAATTTCGCGAGCGCACACACCTCCGATCAGATGTACGTGGCAGCCATCTTGACATCCTCGGCGCGCACTGCTCATAACCTGTCGGGGCAATGACATCATCGCTTATACAGTTAATTTATTTTTCTTTCTTTCTTAATTTTCGATTCATATGAAAATATATACGTGCAATCTATTATATTTTATTGAAATATTCTATTATTTCTTTCATCGAATAAAATTTATAATAATAAATTGTTTAAGGACACACTTTTCTTGTAAAGTATCAAAACTAAATTTTTTTAAAAACTGCCGCTCTCAATCTGTTTTACCATTATATGATAATGTTGCTTATAATCATTGTTCATACTTGATTTATACATATTAATAAATCTACTAAAATATTTAAAGTAATATAAAATTTATGAATTCAATTTTTAAGAAATACTTAAATAATCACTTAATTTCTACAATATGACATTATCGACTTAGATAACTAAACTAACATAACATTAAATGTCACTAGATATCCCATTCACATATCTTCAATCATATTAGTAACATTTTTTAATCGGAAATGACGTTTTTATAGATAAAAAATTAGCGGCATATTCAAATATAATAATGCA